GGGTTCTCTTAATTTCTCCTTCTGTATAAAACGGCGATGGATCCAGCGATCCATCGCCCTAGCTCAATCAGTTAGGCACGCGAGTGACATTCAGGAGGTCGTGGGTTCTCTTACTTTCTCCTTCTGTATAAAACGGCGATGGGTCCAGCGATCCATCGCCCTAGCTCAATTGGTTAGGCACGCAAGTGGCATTCAGGAGGTCTTGGGTTCAACCCCCATGGCCGCCTGTGGCACTCTCGGTGCCAACCAACTGAGATAGTCAGCTGGATCCGCCCAGTCGGTATCAGTAAGGTCTTCAGCCAACACCGGTGTGAGTGCGCGTGTGGATGGCTTGTGTGTGGTGTGTGGGAGAGTGTTCGCTTTAGACGCTACTGTTACCCGATGGCCCGGCGATGGGGGTGGGGGAGGATGAAAAGGGAGGCGGCCGCACAATTACTGGCAAATGCTCGGTCCTTGTGTTAGCCGGGGCCCCCCTCCGGCGGCCCCAACCCTGCACCCTACCCATTGCTAGGACAAAGGAGCAAACATGCCGTTACCTCCCTCGACCGAGAGAGGAAACCTCCCTTCACCGAGGACAGGTCGAAAGCGATGCTTGCAGGGGTCCCGTGTATAGCCTTAGGAGTAGCGGTAAGCTGTGAAAGGAAAAAGATAGGTTCCATGCCCTGGCAGAACGCGCGTTAAAATATGTGAGGTGAGCGAGAGACGAAAAAAATAAAAAATGAAATAAAAGGGCGATGGCCTTGAGATATCATTCGTGTGGATCCGCAGTTTGAACTCAGGTTTGTACCTCAACAATTCATGGGTGTGCCAACTGAGCTAGGTCCGCCGGTAGGTTTTCCGATACATATAAGACTAAAAGTACTTCATCCCACAAATGATTCCAAGTAGCTATACACCTTGTCATCCATGACTGCCCATAATTTCCGACACCAACTAGTATGCCGAAGGGATGGCCAGCAGACCGCAAAAGGTAAGAGGATAGGATAATGAAAAATGTTTTATGAGAGGACCAATGTTCATGTTTGCTCATGCAAATGCATCTGCCCTTGCTACCTGTCCACATCCCTTGCTGCCTGTCCATAATCTGATCCTAAAAGCATGTCAAAGGGTTGGCATCTTCAACTAGAAAGGTAAGGGGGATGTAATACCTTCGTAAACCATGAGAGTATGCTTCCCGGCCATTTTGCAGAAACGCTCTGTGCACGCATGTGCATTGGGCGGTATGCACCAGGGTGCCGTCCCGTCTCGCCCGAAATCCATCCGGGCGAAACGGGTTGCATGTGAGGCCCAATTTGCCCGGACTGGAAGGATTTTGGGCGAAGCGGCAACCTGCTGCATCCCGAGCAACACGACAGCATGCACAGTGCGTTTCTGCAAAATGGCTGGGAAAGGTACTGGTGGTTTAAACCATCAGTAGATTCAGTACCTTTGAAAGTCGTGACCACATGTATGCCGTGACCTGCTGGGATGAATGGGCCTGGGGCGCTAGACTAAATTCAATATTCATTGAAGTGGAAATGTCACGGCACTGTAGCAATGGCTGACTGCATGCACGCTGTGACTTCCGGAAGTACTGGTGGTTTAACTTTTTAACCCTCCCTCCAACTGGAAGTATGCCTTGATCCCCTCAACATATTGGTTCACAACTTCACATTGAAAGGCATATCATCTGCTAAAGTTGAAACTATGGGATCTTCCAATTCTTTAACCTTCATTCCTAGATGTAGCTTCTTTGAGGCCTTAGGCAAGATATAACTCGAGCTGATCCATTGTGTACTTAATGCACCTATCCTAGAAGGGTAAGGGGATGTAATGCCTTCTTTAATGTCTCCCTGAGTCCCCTCCCTCCAACCGGAAGTATGCCTTCATTCCCTCAGCATATTGGTCTACACTCAAAGGCCTATTATCTATGGTTAAACCACCAGTACCCGGGCCACCGAGCGCACTGTGCTTACATAACTGAAATGTCCTATCCACAACTGAACAACAACAGATCTGCTTCTTGCCTCGAAAGTAGGCTCGAAAGTTTCACCCAACGTTCTTTTTGACTAAATAAAACAAAGCCCACAAAACGAAATGCTACAACGATTTGTTCTCCATTATTATCAAGTCAAATTTGTTTTTAACTTAGCATACTGAATAGTAAAATGCCAAATAGAACGAGTTCACACATTCTGATTTTTCATCCTCGTCTTATCCCCATCCTGCCACAGGCGGTTAAAAGAGACCCCAACTTTTCAGCTCCTAGGCATCTTTATCCCAATCTCATCCACAACTTATCCATATTTTATCCACAACTTTTCCACAACTTTTCCACAATTTATCCATATCTTATCCATACCTTATCTACGTCTTATCCACGTCTCGTCCACATCTTATCCACACCTTATCCACACCTTATCCACATCTTATCCACATCTTATCCAGACCTTATCCACATTAGGGGTGCACCATTACATGTAAACGACCACACCTTATCCACAACTTATCCGCAACGTATCCACATCTCATCCGCAACTTATTCACACCTTATCCACATCTCATCCACACCTTATCCACACCTTATCCACATTGGAGGTGCACCATTAGATGTAAACGATATTCTCATCCACACCTTATCCGCATGCACCTTTTCCACACCTTATCCACACCCTTATCCACACCTTATCCACACCTTATCCACATTGGCGGTGCACCATTAGATGTAAACGATATCCATTGCAGAAGACCTCTTCCCTATCTATCATATCCCGGCTCTCTGAGGAGGAACACCCTTAGTTAACCTTATCCACCATCTCCAGCGATAACATTTGCCTCAGCCACTTTAGTACATGTCCCTTGCATCTCCTCCCCCTTCCCCGCTCCCCGCTCCCCC